GTATCACTATGTAAGGTGGCTAGGTCCAAACTGCTTCAGTGACATTCTCAGTAATATCTCAACGTGTCTACGTAGCCACAGCCTCACCAATGGAGGAGTTTGGAAAATTTTGTCAAGCTGAGAGGTGACGGTTACAGTTTGAATTATTTTCATTTAGTGTGAGCTCAGGTATCTTTTCACACAATTGAATTTCTGTTCTGTGAATTATCTGTGTCTATCTCCAACTCATTTTTCTTTAGGGCTGTTGGGCTTTATCCCTTCGGTTTTTAAAAATGCTCTGTAGTTTAAGGATATTGAGTTGTTGCCTATCATAAGTTAAGTGGATTTTTTCCAGCTTCTCATTTCTATTTTTAGTTGGTTGCAGTCTTTCTTTATTGTGCATTTTTTAAAATGGAATGGAATATTGATCATTTTCCTTAATGATTCAGGGTTAGCAAAATATCTCTATCACAAGGTAATGGAAGTTAACCATATTTTCTTCTAGTACACATATGCTTTTTTTTTGCATTTAAATGCCTGAGTTCTTGGGAATTTATGCTAATGTTTCATATTTGAGGAGAATCCACTTTTATCTTTTTCCCTACTGCTCTCCCATGATCTCAACAACATTTATTTAAAAATCCACCTCCCCCTCACCCCAACTGATCTGATATACTGCCTTTTTCCTATCCTAAATTCTCCCTCATAACTAAATGGTTCTGTATCTGGGTATTTTATTCCATTTCATTGGTTTCCTTGGTACATTTTTTCATATACCAATACCAAATTACTTTCATTGTAGAGGCTTAAGAGTGTGTGTTTTTGCATGAGTAACGGGCCGCAGTTACCACCTCATGGTTCTTTCTGTTTTTACTTTGGTTCGGTTTTGGGGGGTTAGGGGGAGTGGTCCCTGGCTATTCTTTATTTGTTCTCAATGAACTTGTCCTCTCAAGGCAGTTTGCAAGGCCAACGACCTTGGAACTTGATCAAGAAGGACCTGCGTCCTTCCTGGCTTCGTGGAACAGATAGACCAGTCTCCTTTGGGGTCCGGGGAGCAGCAGTATTCTCCAAGCGCGCTCTCCTTAGGGGCGGTCCACATTACTTGCACCTTCTGAGCTTACCTGATGCTAATGCTCTGTGAGGATCCCGAACAGTGCACAGGGTTTAAACCCAAAGGTTGGCAGACTCTGCCAGAAACATCTGGCGATCTGCTCCCAGAAAGGAAGATTCTAGAAAAGAGGACCTCATTGTGCATTTCTAGTCCACTGCTTGGGGTCGCTCTGAGTCCAAACTCACTCAGCAGCACCTAACAGCACAGCCGCTGTCTCTGCTGGTTTGTTTGGTTGGTTTGTTTGTCTCTTTTGTCTTCTTTCTTTGTCTGCCTGTGGTTGGTTGTCTGTCTAACTGCCTTCCTTTTTCTTTCTTGCTATTAGTTGTTCTTCTTTGGCCTTTTTTTTTTCCCCCGGGGGTTTCGATTGGTTGCGACTAATGCTTTCTGCTATATGGTTAAAAGTGGCTTTTGCTGGAATCTAATTGTGGCTCTCTGTCTATCCACGGCAGCACAATGACCCAAGAGACCCAACCAAGATACCGTCATTAGAACAGGAAGTGAGTTCAGTTAAGTCACAAAATGAATATACAAAACTCAGTCACTTTCATATAAAGGCAATTAGAAAACATAATGGGAAAAATTCCATGACAGTGGCAAAAATGCAGACACATAACATGCTTGGCAAGAGCGCGGGACTCACAAACGGCGTGAGACCACTGCAAAGCTCTACAGAGGGACCTCAATAAAGATTTTAATTGTTAATATTATTTTAAACAGTTTTATTGGCACTTCATCCACATATCATACAATTCAGAAGTTCACTCATATCCCAAAGAGTTGTCTCCTCATGACTGCAATCAATTTCAGGCCATTCCTTCTTGTACTCATTGTTATTAACCCCCCATTGGGACAACCCTTGGTAACTTTACCCACAGGATCCCAAGGCTCCCAGGTGTATGCATTCACTTGTTTCTTTACTATTTGAATAAACTGGCTCTATTTCATATACTGAGGGAGGCTTGGTGGGGCAGTGGCTCAGCCCTCAGCTGCTAACCAGAATGCAGGCTTTGGAAACCCACCAGCTGTCCCCAGGAGAATGGTGTAGTCTGCGCTCATAAAAATTACCCAACTCAAACCAAACCCACAGGCATCGAATCCAGTCCTGCCCATAGCAACCCTGTATAGGGCTTCTGAGGCTGTGGATCTTGATGCAAGCCCATAGCCTCAACTTTCTCTCATGGAGGGAGTGCCTGTGGGTTTGAACCACCGACCTTGTGGTTAGCAGTCCAGCATTGACTAAATGGCATCACAAGGGTTCCTTTCCTTAAAAATCACAGCCTTTGGAACCCACAGGGTCTGTTCCAATATGTCCTATGGGGTTATTATGGGTTGCAGTAAACTCGGTGGCAGTGGGTAGGCCATGTATTGTGAGAAACATCACCTCTCACAAGTCTCTTGAGAATTCCCAGCCTTGATTGAGGGGCTCATGTGCCCCTTGATCTAGATGAACTCCAGCTGCTGCTTTGTTTTCTGTTCCTTGACCCCGCGCCCATTTATCTGTTTCTTCATTCAGCTGGAGTTTACGGAGAGTGGCCCTGTCGCAGGGTCAGTGGACTGCTAATCAAAGTCGGCAGTTCAAACTCACCAGCCTCTTCAAGGAAGAAAATGAAACTCTCTGCTCTCGTCAGGATCGGCAGTCTCAAAGACCCTAGAGACTGAGTCGCCAAGAGACGGAGCCCACTTTATGGCAGTCGGGTTTGGGGTGTGAGACCACGTTCTAAGCGGTCCTATCGGTGCGCACTAACCAGTGCGATGTCTCCTGGGGCTGCTGCCTTTGTTTCCGCACCATCTTTGGCCTGGGACTCTGTCCCCTCACCTTCCTTGCCCTTGACAAGTGTCACTAATGCGAGGCCATGTTATATAAGACTTTTTCTGGGGCCTGGGGGTTCTGGTGGGCGTTGAGGGGGTGCAGATACGCGCAGTAAATGGATGCAGCATCCAACAATAAGCAGTGAGCATTTAAAGTCCTGCTGCCATCAGGTCAGTGCCCCTGTGAGTTTCCGAGACTGCGCTTGTTCGTGGGAGTAGCAGCCTTCCTCCTGCAGAGCTGGCAGCGGTTTCCAACTGCAGATCCCAGCCCAGCGCATAACCACTAACTCCAAAAGGGATGCTAGACAAAGCTCTTGCTCATCCTGTGTTACAGACATCCTAAAAGTTCTGGGTCCACCCCCTCAGACAAGTCCCGTTTTGTCCGTAGCTTTCACCTGCTGCCATCTTTTGGCATGGCCTCTCGCTGTCTCTGGGGAGCTCTTACCTATGGTCTCCTCGGCCTCTTTAATGCTTGACTTGGCCCCTCTGCCTAGTCTTTGAAAACACAAGCCTCCTGTTATTAATCATGCAACATGGCTGAACCTTGAAAGCATTATGTTAAGTGAAAGCAACGGACACAGCAGGCCACATATTGTATGATTTGTTTATATCCATGTTTCCCATAGGGGGATACTACCTCCTGGGGGCACTGGAAAGATCGGGGTGGGGGGTGTCAGGGATGAGGTGGGCTGCAAAAGCAGATAGCTACACTTATCCTGCATTATGGGCAATAGTCCAAAATTTTTTAATTGTCAGGGGGAGAGTTGAGTAATTTTTGTGTGTGAAAAGACAGCAGGAGGCTAAAATAAGTATGGAAATCTATGGCTTATTAAATGTCCAGAATAGAATAGGTATCTAGAAACCAAAAAGGGACTAGTGGTTGGCACAGGCTGAGGGCAAGGGAAATTGGGGCATGGCTGCTAATGAGTAGGGAATTCTTTTTTTTGCCGGGGGGTGGGGTGGGGTGATGAAAATATTCTGGAATTAGATAATGGTGACGGTTGAACAACTTGGTGAGTTTACTGAAAAACTACTGAATTGTATTCTATAAAGGGGCAAATTGTATGTTACATGAATTATGCCTCAAATAAAATTTTCTCTAAAAAAGATAAGTCCGTCCCACTGAGTTTTCAAGAGAGGGAAGAGTGATTAAAGATGCCCTAAAAGTTTTTAAAGTACAACAATGCAAAGTAAAGCAATGAGATGAAATATTTGCCTATGTACTCACCACAAAGGGAAAGAAAATGTCTATTTCTATCAATAGTAAGGGTGTAGACTAATCATATGCTGGTGATGATGACGGGAAATGTGGTGCTATATTTTAGAAGACATAATTGTGTCCTTGAATTAATTTTCTGGAATTTTATCTTAAAGAAACACCATGTATTGTTCAAAATATCCATAACACAGAAAGACATTTCTGCTCTTATGAAAACTAGGATCAATAGAATGTATACAAGGGAGCTTTAAAAAGTGTATGAAAAATAGAATTAAAAGATAGTGGAATTCTACAATGAACTTTATAAAGCCTCCTAATATTTATAGCATGAAAGAGACCAATAGAAGCCCACACTTAAGGCTGGAGCTAAAATATGGACAATAACAGCATCTTATGTTGAAATAACAGACAATTCGCATTTTCTTCTCTGTGTTTCCTGTTTATCTGTGTTTTCAAATGATTCCATTTAGAGATATATTTTATAGTCAGAAAAAAATAGCACAAGGTATTTGAAATAGTAAAAAGGTAAGTGTGAGGAAGTATGTTTGTCTTTGGTGAGTGCTGTAGGGAGATGAGATGAGAAACCTCTCATTTCTCCCTCGGTGTCAAGGATGCAGAATCAAGAGGGATCTCCATCAGCAGTCCTCAGAATCCCTGAGCTGGACTCTTTTCCTCTCCAGCTGCCCATCGGAATTCCCCTCAGTAGACAATGTCAGGATTTGACCAATTGATTGATAATTTATAGCATAGACCATTGTACAAGAAACTGCGTATCCATTCCAAGATTTTTCCTCTTCAAAACCCAATGTTTTAAGTTTTACCATATACGCCATGCTGATTAGAGTTTCCTGGACATAACAATTTTTTCCCCCAATTTCCCAGACAGAATCATGAATAAACTGGAGGACAAGCAGGACCAGATGATACCATGAAGAGAGGTTTACAGGCCCTCTATTGCCAACTGTTAAGTAAGTCAATACCTCGTTTCCTCTTTCCTAGAGTATATATGGCAATACTGATTTTCCCCCACGTGCCTTAAATGTACACACTTTTCAAGAGGATCACCAGGGCCTGCTCGTTGAGAAAGGGTAGTAAATTCCCCAGTGCTTCCCAATTGGGGCACTCAAAGTACCAAGCTGTAACTTTTCCTGTTGCCTTGGACACTAGTTGTAATATTTCTTAGTTGCAATATTGACTACAATAATTCTAAATGGACATGGTAAGCCTAGTTCATGCAGGAATGAATGTCAGCAGCTTTATTGTCCTTGATTTTGTGATTATAAGAAAGGCTGATCTTATGTAGGTTCCTCATGGAGAAGGGATAGAGATCGTGTTTGTGGATTTTGCCAGATGGAACCTGTTCTCATTATGTGGATATACAGCATTTGCTTGGAAAATTGTGTGTAGTGTTGCATGGTTCCTAAATATTGAGTGTTGAGAAATGTGATTGACATGTTAAGTACATTTCCTTCCAAAGTGAGTGTCAATAATGACCCACAGCGCTACGGGGCCAGCACGGGAGACACCATGCGGGAATTGTGCCTGGTCTGACCCAACCAGAGCATAACACAAAGGCAGCACAACTGAGCAGCAAGGGGAGCAAAGCAACGAAGTGCCTGAGGAATCCTGAAAATAGATTTCGGACTGGGGGGCATGGCATGGCACTGCATCAGACCCGGTTGGGAAACATCCATAATGGTCAGCAGACAGACCTAGAATTATTCATAGGCTATTTTTATTTTCGTTTTATTTGTTTATCTTCATGTCTATCTATTTGAGATAGGCAGAATAAACAATCTAGAGGAGAAAACAACAGGACTAATTAGGAGGACAGGAGAAAGGAGGAGATTGGGGAAAGGGAATGGGGAGTCAAAAAACCCATGGGCAAGGGAACAGTAAGAGATCTAAAATTGATGGCAAGGAGGGCATATGTTCGACCTTCATTTGGCTCTCAGTAATTCCTCCTGGCTACATTGCACTTGATCAAACCCCACCAGTTGTACTATACCCTCCTCTCAACACACAGAATCCAGGACAGATTAACCCCTCAGGAACAATAATGAGAGTAGCAATACCATGAGGGTGGGGGGAAGGTGGGAGGAGAAAAGAGGAATAAGGGATACTGATCACAATGATTGATGTTCAACACCCCCCCCCCGGGGGGGGGAGGCACCAAACAACAGAAATGTGGGAGAATGGAGGCAGCAGAAGGTGTAAAATATGAAAATAAAAATAATTTATAAATTATCAAGGGTTCACGAGAGTGGGAGGGGAGGGGAGGGAGAGGAAATAAGAGGCGCTGATAGCAAGGGTTCAAGTAGAAAAAAAAATATTTTGGAGATGTTGATGGCAACATAGGTACAAATGTGTTTGATAAAATTGATTTATGGATTGTTATAAGAGCTGTAAGAGGCCCCAATAAAATGATTTATTAAATTTTTTTTAAAGATTGAGTGTCAAAAAAGAATGAGGGTAGACAAAAAAGTGTTATATTATGACCTTCTGTGTGTTGATCATGTGTTTTGGGATGGTGCCACACAAAGCATGAGTTTCCATCAGTGACTCTATTGCCTTTGGGATTAGAATTGTTCCTGGATAAATACAGACACCGATGCCAGGTGGCACATTTGATGTTCAAATTGATCCACTTGGGACAAGGACATTGCGCTGGCATTGTGCCACCCTGAGTCAAACCAAAAACATGGTGTTGGGGAAATTTGAAGTGCTTGTCTTGTTATTTTTCTTCTTAAATCATATTATTGGGGGTTCATACAGCTCTTAACACTGTCCATACACATATCCTTTGGATCAAGCACATTTGTACATATGTTGCCATCATCATTTTCAAAACATTTTCTTTCTACTTGAGCCCTTGGTATCAGCTCATTTCCCTCCCTCCCATGGTCCCTCCCTCATGAACCCTTGATAATTTATAAAATTTTATTCCATGTATTACACTGACCAATATCTCCCTTCACCCAGTTTTCTGTTGTCTGTCCACCTGGAAGGGTGTTATATGTAGATCATTGTGATCGGTCTTCCCCTACCCCCACCCCGCCACCCAACCTTCCCCTTCCCCTTCTCGTATGGCTACCCTCATTATTGGTCCTGAGGGGTTTATCTGCTCTGGATTCCCTGTGTTTCCAGCTCTGATCTGTACCAGTGGCTTGGCTTGTTCTGGCTGATGTAATTCCCATACAAATCATACAGCCACGGACCCCATGAAGCAGTCTTACTCTGTAGCATATGGGATTGCCTTGGGTTGGGATCCCGCGGAAGGACCGCGAACAACAGCATCTTCCCTGGGCTGATTGGCTTATTGCTAACTTCCATGTCGACAATGAAACAGAAAACGATTGACATGTCAATCACCCGCCAGGCTTTAGAATTTAGAGATTCGGGTTATGTTGCACCCTCTGTGCCCGGCACATTATCTATAGTCAGCATTTGAGCTTATGTTTTAATTGGTTCATTTCTTCAGCTGAATTCTACTCCCTGAAACATAGATCACATGAACCTAATTTCAGCCTGGTGGAAAGTTGGCAAAAGTTGTGGGACTCTCTCTTGTTCTTTCTCCATGTGTTCCACTGAATTGTTTTTTTATGTTTTTGTTTTGTTTTTATCATTTTGGGGGGAGCTCTTACAGATATCATAACATTCCATAGTTCAATCACATCAAGCAGTATTGTACAATTGCTACCACAGTTTCAAAACATTTTCTTTCCTTTTGAACTCCTTGATATCAGCTCCCCTTTACCCCCTCCCTTCTCTACCCTTCCCTCCAAGAACCCTTCTTTGTTTGTTTGTTTATACTGCATCTTACGCCATCCGATATATCCATTCACATACAATTCTGTTGTTAGCTCCCCTTGAGTGGGGCTATACACTCATCAATGATATCAGCTCTCCCTTCCCGTTCTCTCAGGGAACCATTATACCTGTTATTGTTTATGAAGGGTTATCTGTCTTGGCTTTCATGTATAGAATGATCTTAATTATACACATGAACATGTGCAAGTCTAACATATTGAGGTAAAACAAGTAAAAGCCCTAATAGTAAGGGGAGGAAATATTAAAGAACCAGAGAATAGTTAGGCATTTCATCAGTGCTATAGTGCACCCTGGATTTATTGTCCCTTCCGTGTGGCCCTTCTGAAAGGGACTGTTTAATTATCTTGAAAGTGAATTTTGGGTCAGTGTTGTTTTTAGGGATAAGCTTGTTTGTTAGAGAAAAGGATTTGCAGATTGAAAAAGCAATGTCATAAACAAATAATGATTAACTCAACCTTCGTGGGAGAGGAGAAGTGGGGGAAAGCTCCACAGAATGGGGACATTTGAGGGATACATAGGATTTCATTCCCCTTGCTCAGAGAAGGGGAGGCAGGCTTTGCAGGGAGGATACAGGAAAAGAGGTTGAGCTCAGTTGATTTGAGGCAGAACAATAATATGTTAGTTCATGTACCCTGGTTGTGTACCCCAAGTTTGCATAATATTACAAGGCCATATATTAATTGAAAGACATCAGGTAAGGTATTCTAAGTTCAGAAACAAGTCATATGCCTTACCTGGTTTTAAGCTGAATAAATATGGATATCGACAGGTTTTCTTCAAAGGCTGCTGGTTAGTATTGGAAGCGATTTGTCTCAACACCTTCATTGTCTGCAAACTGGGAAATGCTGTCCGACCAGAGTAGGTCAGTTTCCAGCCAGGTAGGAGCTAGGTAGTGACCTTCACTCAGCCACCCTGATTATGAGGTCGCTTGCTGCAGGCTTGAGCCTGGCTTTGTTCCGAGCTGCTGGGGCCCGGCAGTTTGACACGAGATTCAATTGGCCGAACTTCAGAGAATGGTGGTTAGTTATTGTTCTTCTTCTTTAGATGTGGGACATTGAGTAAAATGTGTAAAATTCTAGTTAAGTTAAAATGAACTGACATGCATGACACAGAGCACATGCCCTATATGTTGCTTGTCAGACAGCTGTAGTCATGCCTATTCTAATCTTGTCCACAAACTTGGTGTGCTTGAATTTAACAGACTGGAGGTTTCAAGTGTCAGCATACACTCAATATGCTGCTTTTTGTAACTCAGCAAACTAGTGGGGTTTTTTTTAATTGGGGGGCGGACACCATGATAAGGAGAGTGTTCTGATTATTCCTTGTATCTACGCACCCTACCCCATAATGTTGTGGCTTAAAACAGCATCATTTATTTGGATGATGAATCTGCAGATTGGACAGGACTTACCAGAGAGGGCCCCCTCTAGTGTCTGGGCTGGGGCTGGAAGGATGCCACCAACTGGGGGCTGGAACAGAAGGGCTGCCTAGGCTGCCCTTTCTCTCTGGGGCTGTTTCCCATAGCTAGTGTGAGCTTCTTCACAGCTGCGCTAGGGCTAGTCAGGCTTCAGACTTGGCAGTTCCTCACTCTAAGGCCCCGACAGAAAGCTGAAAACTTCTTGAGAACCATACTTAAGAACCAGAACAATAATTCAGCCACATTGCATTGGCTAAAGGAGATCGCAAAGACCAACCCTGACTCATGCAGAAGGGAATTAGACACGACTTCAAAAAGTGCACTGCAGTGAGGATTTGTAGTCATAGCACCACCATGGAGCCCCTTCTGGCTCCTGGTTGACCCTGTAGGCCAGAGTGTAACTACTCCCGAGGGTCTCTGAGGCTGTACATCTTCACAGGAGCACACTGCCTCATCTTTTGCCTCATATTTCTCCCTCAGGGCAGTCGGTGTGTTCAAATCACCGGCCTATCCATTCATAACCAAGTGCATAACCCACTGTGACACCCTGGCTCCCTTAACGACAAATGCTATCCACTTGTTAAGAAACAGCTAGTGCACACTCTTTGTCAGGGCCTGCCCATCATCAAGAGGCAACTCCCTCTGGAATGCCTACTGTGTTTGGGCACATCATCTCAGTCCCGAGGTAAATGATCCAAGCGGATGACATGTGACAGACGA